CTTTTTTTTTCTTTCAATGCACCACAACCTCCTTCACTCAACAACAGAGTTTTGAACAGTTGAGTTGTGAGAATGTGAGCAGCTGCTGTTATTATAACTAAAGGTCTGTCTACTGCTTGAGTCTGAGAGACCACATGTTCGGCTGTCCTCTCATCTTGCCATCCTCACCAATTAACTATTAACATGGAGGGCTGTACACATGCTCTTGGGGGCTCTTTAACAGGCTTCTTGGCGAGTGGAACAACTACACAGCAGGGATCTGGGAACTGAGTAATGCCGGAATATAGGGGAGCCGTCCGTAGTTCTGCTCCTTCTAATGACACTTTACTCCATAGTTCAGTATGTAACAAAGTCTGTATTTAACTTAGCCATTTTCACACACAGTTTTAGTTCAACGTCTTTGGGCAGACACTAAAACTATATTCCAGCAAGAGACAGTATGAGTAATAATATTACTTCACAGGGAAAATTGTTTAAGATTATATATATATATACACACTTAAGACATTCATAATATATTTGTTGAACAATTTTAGTGTTTTCTTAACAGATATTTAGAATTTATTTTTATATACTTGTTTCAAAGTATGCTTGCCATTTTTTTTTCTGTGGCATTAAAGAAAATAATCTTTAACCTGAAGGAAATAAAAAATGTCAAGTTCAAAGTTGTGGGACTGAACATAAAACATTTCAAAGGCAAATTAAAAAATAATTATTGTTCATTCTACTTGCAAAAGTCTTATTATAACAATAAGTTAAAATCAGTTTTGAATCTATGTCATTATTTTCCCTATTTTAACTTTTCCCTCTCTTTGCAATTTCCTTAACTATGTGTTCCTTCCCTACAATGAAATTAAACATGGGAAGCATGCCAAAAGTATAATAAAGGGTAACTAATCATTACTATACAAGTCTGACAGAATGCTAATAACTAAAGTAAGAACACTGATTGGCTGGTTTAACAATTCAAGAAATAAGGATATTTTATACAAAATACCTTTAATCTAATGTTAATTTATATAATGCACTCAAAGGTACCACAATTTTATTATCTATACATGCCAACTATATGTATGATAAAATTTTCAAGGATATCCAACCACATTTCTATTTCTGCCCAAAACCACTCTACTACCACACCCAAGCTCAAGTATCAATAAACTCACATATACTACTTTTCTGTTCCATCCTATATTTTACATTGTTGAAAAAGTTCCATGAGAATAGAAACCTTGTTTGTCTTCTTAGCTACTGTATCCCTATAGGTGCCTAGAACAGTGCCTGCATTGTTAAATAAGTGTATAAGTTAAATTATCCACAGTTATTCAATCACCATTTAAACCCTAACTTACAATCTCCAGAGGTGGCACTGGTCATAGTGGACAGGAAGCTGATGTATGATGTTTAAAGAGTCTTGTTTCAAGATAGTGATGCTACTAATATTTGGATGGCCAACTGACTTTATTTATGCCTCCTGGTTTGTCTCAGGCCTAACCTGTGAGAAGATCCTGTCAGTGTCTTCCATAAAAAGAGGCGGCAGGAGATTTCTATTGCTTTGATAGACTTTTATACCTTATTTTTTGTAGCCTTATCTCTGTTCAAATCCTCAAATTTGGAGATCTGTTTAAGTAATAATAGTGCAGATGACAACTGCTAACATATATTGAATGCCTACTATGTGCCAGCACTGTTTAAGTACATGTTATTACTAATCCTCTTAACCGGATACTTTTTGCTCCATTTTCACAGGTGAAGCTGAGGCTGAAAAAATTAAGACTTGACTAAGACTATGAAACTAGTTGGATCTATCTGCCTCTAAGATCTCAGGCTCTTTCTATCATTGAATGCTACTTTGTGCACAGTTTGTTTCTAAATTTCGACTCTAGTATCTCTGTGGAACAATTAGCATAGCACAGTGGTTAAGATTATGGTAATAAGAGGTAGACTACTTAGGTCTAAATTCTGCCACTCATTAGCTGTGTGATCTTGGGAAAAGATAATGACAGTACCAACCATATGGGGTTATTATGAGAATTAAATGAGTTAAGATTTGAAAAGCATTTTGGACTGCAACTGGCCCATAGTAATCACCATGTAACTTTTTATTAAATAAACTCACAGTGCCCTGGTTATATGTATTCGTACATCTTTGATTACCTTTCCAAGCATACTGCTTGCAATTCTTATTCTCTTTCCTTAGCCAAAAGACTGATTTTCCTTGATAGACTTTAAAAGTTATTAAAAGTTTTACCTATTTATATAATGATGGGTTGGAAGAAGTATATGTTTTATATTTTCTCCTAAACATTTTCATATAAAAACAAATATATGGTCAGATATCATGTTCAAAGAGCAAGGGAAAATTTATTTGTTTTTTATAACTCAATTGGTATTAGGGCTAGAAGACTACTATATGATAACTTTGCAAAAACTGTCTAGGAATGAGAGATTGAAAATTGGGAAAATTTTAGAAGGCTGTGCAGTTTTTTTTTAAAAAAAGACATTCTCTGTTTTGAGGAATATTTTTTTTTTAAAAAAAACACTATATAACTTTATACTCATTACCAAAATCTGACCCTATATTTTGCTATGTCTATTTCAAAGGAGTCTCTTTACCGCTATGTTAAGAAGCATAAATTTAATCTATCTTCCAGTTATACAGGGGCTTAAATATATCTGTAAAGTATCAAAGTTAAAATATTGTTTCAGGTTCAAACATCGAGATCACTACATCATTCACTCATTATTTAATCAGTGGTCTAGATAGGCTGACTTGAGGTCATCTGATAGTATCTGCTGTTCCCTTAAATGAGGGTACAGGATTCACTGTCATAGACATCCACAATGGGAATCTCTTCCTTAAGTGATAAAGATGATCACCAACAAAATGGCTTTAAAAAAGTGTTTTCCTTTTCCTTCTTTCCGTTTTCTCACAGAGGCCCCATTGGAATAAAATTTAAAGTTACATATATACACATATTTTTTTCATAATTGTTTTTCTTTGCTTTGCAATTATGCAAAAGGAAGCATATTTATCTTTTTCTCTCTTGTCTAGAATGGAACTCTTTGTTTAATCTTTTATATGTACTAATTTATCAAATATTTTACACTAATAATTTTCTTTTAAAAATGTAGAATAATTACAATATTAGCCAATAACTTTTTTTTTCCTAATAGAAACTTAGTGTCATCAAAGGTAGTTAATAATTCAGGACACATAGGATACAGTGTGACAGAGGGGAAGGAGTTTAAATTTTTAAGTTAACCAGATCTGAGCTTGAATACCAGCTTAAAATGTACAACAGATATGGGATATTGGATAATCATTTAACTTTAGTTTAGTTGCCTTTGCAATTGAAATCACAGCTATCTTGCAGGGTTTTTGTGATGATTAGTGAAGCCATATAATCTAATGCTGAGAATGATAAGGTTTGAAGTCAGGTAAGGACACTGGCCTGCTACTTATTAACTGGGTGACCCTATGGAAACAGAGGTAAAACAACCTGTTTGACAGGGTAGCACTGAAGATTCAAGGACCTAATGCTTGTAAAGTGCTTGGGATGTAGCACATGGCTAATAAACAGCTGTAGCAATAGCATAGTAGTAGTAGTATAAGTAGTAGTATTTTCATCAGTATCTGATAAGTCTGTTTCATGTTTATTTATCATAAAAAGCTCACCATGTCTAACCAAACTATTATTTGAGTACTAACTTTATGATAACTTATTAACAACGGAAGCAATACAAGTATGTGTACAATGTCTAGCATGATTAGAGAAAGGAGTTTCCTTATGATATGTCTGCAATTTTAAGCTAATGATAATAATTTAGGTCCAGACACAATGTATAAAAAGTCCTTCAAGGAAAACTGAGTTATCCTCTGCTGACCATTATAAATAAATAAATTCTACTGGCCAAGCAGACCAAATTCACTGCTTTTAAAATTTAATTTAATTTTTTGTAGAAATGGGGACTTGCTGTTACACAGGCTGAACTTCTTGCCTCAAGTGATCCTTCTGCCTCAGCCTCCCAAAGTGCTGGGATTATAGGTGTGAGGCACTGCATCTAGCTAAATTCACTTTTCATTTGTCACACTTTTCAGTCATATTTGCTATATATGCTGTACATAATGAATGTAACTAAATGTCATTTTAATACATTTGCTATTTGCAGGTAGGGTCTAGGTATGTTGGAACAGAGACACCAAGATTACGTAACTTTATAATAAAGATTCAATATTCATTTAATTAACATTTACTGATTATCTAGGAAAAGCCTAGGTACTGTGTTAAGAATTTTAAAACCACGTTTAATATTATGTTATTACTATAAAGCCTATAAAGAAACGTATAAATATCTGGCCCTCCGTCTATGGAGACTACAATGTAGTAGATATATAAGATCATATGAAATCACATGCCTGAGGCAAACAGTATGTACTTAAGTAAACGATACTGATGTTAACATATACTTTACATAAAATATTAATTAAAGAAAGAAACTAAAAGCTGTTTCAGAACATGAACTAAAACTGGAAAAAATTCAAATGGAAATACATTGATTCATTAGTAAAAGAAAAAACTATAAAATGTTTAGAAGAAAACATAAGAAAAAGACGTTGGAGAGGGCAAAGACTGTAAAGATTGGAGGTGTGAGGGAGGTAAACCACTAACCACTAAAAAATGTATAAATTGAACTTCATCAATATTGAAAACTTTAGCTTTTCAAAAGACATTGTTAAGAAAATAGAAAAAGCAAGTCATAGATAGGAGGAAAATTATTACCAAGTTGTAGCTAAAATATCAAGGAACTTTACAAATTGATAATGAGACTATCAATAAAAAATGGACAAAAGACAGACAAAAGAAGATATGCAAATGGCCAGAAAGCACATGAAAAGATGGTCAACATCATGAGTTATCATGGAAATGCAAATTAAAACCACGATGTCATACTATATCACCATGAGTTATGAAAAAATAGTTCTGGAAAGTTCTTACCTGGATCAGATGTGTTGGCATTGTGATGATGCAGGCTGAAAGAGAGGTTCTCAGAAGACCACGGAGAACATAGAGGAACTTGGTAAGGCTGTGACTGTTGCTACCATTTTCTGCACAGCAAATATCATCTCCCCATAAAGGTGAGCCAAGATTCTGAATTCCTATTCTTAAAACGTTTCTTTGTTTTTTCTAAAAGAAAGTGGGAAAAAAGCAAACATATAAAGTTTTGTTAATCAATAGAATACTACTTTTGTCTGTCAGTTCTTATCTTTACAACATCAGGGAAATAATGTCAATAGATGTGTTAAAAATTTTTATGTACTATTAGTACATTAAGCAACATAAATGAAATTTTTTTGATCACAAGATTATAAAAAGTAACTTTTTTTAACTTTTGAAAAATCTGAACAGTATCATACGCCTTAAGCTTTAAATTGTATCTAAATTTTAACAGCCACAACTCTAAGAATTATACTTAATGCACTTAAAATATTTAATAAAACAGATAATAATGAAATCTTAACTAGAATGCTTGCAAACCCCTTGTCAGTATTAGAAAATTCTGTCTTTCAGTAAACTATAAATTGTACAATATTTCTCATTTAATTTTATCCTACCTACTGCCTGATCTTTTCTTTGAAAAAAACTTTAAAGATACATGACTTTTTGGTTTTATATTTTACATTTGCCTCTGGTTTTTCTTCTTGAAGCTGCTCTTAAAATAATAATTTAAGTTCAACACTTTTCATAAAATTTAACAGGTGAACATTTAGAACTTGAGCCTACCGACATTAAGGTCACAATAAGTGACTATATTTCTTGGGAAAAGAACATTTAAAAACTATTAATGAAACTGTGAATAAATCACTGTGAATAAACGTTTAACAACAGATGTGTTTATAACAAATTCTATTGTTTGGGTTATTCTAACTAAGTAAATGTTTTGTAAATACTTTCCTTAAAAATTCAGCAAAATTTCTGATCAAAGGAAGAACGCGTTAACAAAACCTGGCATGTACAAATAATTGAAAATTCATTATTAGAATTGATGGGAAAAGGAAGATGGCTTTAACTTTTCATGGCTTTAACATAATTTGGAACGCGTGCTGCTTTATATGTGATTCCTGATGAAACAAATTCCTAAAATGTATCACTTGCTATTGCTATAAAATACCCTGATAAAATTTGTTAACCAACTAGTTATTGTCCAACACAATATATCTATTTCCCTGATATTACAAATGAAACTGAATTTGTGTATTCCTTTTTCAAGCAGAATTTATTGATCATGGAAAGTAAGAAAAATGAATAAAACATTGAAATGTTAGAAGACAAAAGTCTAAAGGAACATAAGCTAGTAAATGAATAAGAGAGAATTATAGTCAGGACTGTGTAACTAAGTAGATGGATGATTCTGGACAAGACACACACATTACTTAGGACTTCATTTTCTCTTTCTTTCTTTTCTTTTTTTTTTGAGATAGTGTCTTTCTCTGTTACCCAGAGCGCAGTGGCCTTACTATAGCTCAGGGTAGTCTCAAATTCCTGGGCTCAAGTGATCTTCCCACTACCGCCTCCAGAGTAGCTGGGACTAGGGGCACGTGCCACCAGATCTAGCTAATTTTTCTTTTATTTTTTTTTTTGCAGAGACAGGGTCTTGCTATGTTGCCTAGGCTGACCTTGAACTCCTGGACTAAGCAATCCTCCTGCCTCCGCCTCCCAAAGTATTTGGCTTACAGGTGTTAGACACTGCATCCAGCCAGTTTTTTTCATTTTAAAATTAAAAGGAGAGGCCAGGCGCTGTGGTTCACACCTGTAATTCCAGCACATTGGGAGGCTGAGGAGGGCAGATCACCTAACGTAAAGAATTTGAGACCAGTCTGGCCAACATAGTGAAACCCTGTCTCTACTAAAAATACAAACATTAGTCAGGTGTGGTGGTGTGCACCTCTATTCCCAGCTATTTGGGAGGCTGAAGGCAGGAGAATTGCTTGAACCTGGGAGGCGGAGGTTGCAGGGAGCTGAGATTGCATCACTGTACTCCAGCCTGGGTGACGGAGTGAGATTCCATTAAAAAAAAAAAATTAAAAGGAGAGAAGATAACATTGTTGCTCTACGATTCAATACAACTGAAGGGATATAATGGCCTGGATAAGACTATAAGGATGAAATTACAAAAAAAAGGATTTTAGAATAAGCGTATTAGAAAAAAACTTCCTGACTCTAAGGACCTAAAATATGATCGCAAAAAAAAGGCAGTTGGTTCAGTATTTTAAATGATTGTGTTAGACTTATGACAGACAACCACCTAAGACACCCTATGTTATCATCCTCAATGGTCCACAAAAATTGTTTTCTTTTTATTTCTGCATTACTTGAATGAAATGAAGTAATGAGATGTACCAGGGCTTAGGTTAGAAGTATAAATACATTTCTGGTGAATTAGTGTAAGATATCTGTAAAATATGATGGGTTATTCTTTTTTCTTTATTATTTAAAACCTCAGAATTTAAGTAAAATGGCAAGAATGTAAAGTTCATTTTGCTATCTCTAAATTTGTTATCTCATGATAACAAACAAGTTAAGATTCCCAACAGAAAGAGCATTCTAGAAAAAGGGAGAGAAACATACAAAAAAAAAAAAAAAATCTAGATATTAGAATGAAACATGAAGGTAAAACGAGAGCAGGATAATATCGTTTTCTCTGTCAACCTTTCAGAAACTAAAGATCAACAGTATTTTAACCCACTGTCTCATTACCTATTATTGTATTAAAAAGTACCAGATAAAAGTTTATAACAAAAATGCTGTTAGGCATGAAATTAGGAAAACTACAGAGGTTTAATGATTCTGACAGATACACTGATATATGTATATCAAGTGAATGAAAATATTAAGCCAAAAAATGAATGAGGGATAAGATATTTAAGTGAGGTTGGTACCCAGCACAACAGAATATAATTGAGCATAATACTTCATTTATATTTTAAAAAATATAATGGTAATTGCAAAAACAAAGGCTGAATTATAAATCTCTTGTGTCCTTTAGGATATACAATTCCTTTGCTATGCCATATAATAATGGGGCATACTGTGTGGCATAAGATTTAAAAAATGAACCTTGTCAGCTGTACAATAAATAGTTTTATTCCTATGAGAACATCCAAAATATTTAATCTGGTATTCTAAGTAAAATCCATGTCAAATTTCATTTTTATCATATATTTCTAAGATATTTAAAAATAACAAATGAAATTATGAGCACAATTTGTAAATGTCTGCACTCTAATTATTTTTATAGATTAGCTACACTACTTTACTTACTACCAAGGCTAATTATAAGGTAGTATACAATATTCTGTATTTCTATATGTTGTTTCAAATTAGTTCAGTTTATTTGAAAAGATAATGTTTGAAAAAGATAAAACTTTTCTTTTAAAACATAAGATTTATTTCAATGTCAGAACATTATTCTTGACTTAGGAATAATATTTTTTGAAGTAGTGCCTTGTAGGTATATTTCTGTGGCTTCTAGAACTCATCTAAAGTTTCTGAGACAGATACATGGACTAACAAGTAATTTAGCAAACACTACAATTAATTTAAAGAAGAAAATTCATTATATTTTAGTTGCAATAAAATTGTAAGTATAATTCTATAATAATGTATTGGTATTGGTATATTTTAATTTAAAAACAGTTTTGGTATTCACCATATGAATGTCTACCTGAACGCTGTTTAATCTTCATAAAAGTCAGTAATTATAGAATTTCTGGTTCAGAAAGCCAAACCAGCTCCAGTTTGTTGTCTATCAATTTTTGTGGGGAAAAAAAAATTGTTTCTTGAAAATAGTGGTGTTTTCACAGTCGAATAAACAACTAAGAGAACAAATGTTTTATTCTATTCCTATACTAGCTTACTTAGTAAGGATTTTTACGATGTATCTCTGTGTGTGTGTGTATTCCTTTTGCTATTACCTTTGCTTTTGGGATTCTATAAAATTTCTTACTCTCAGAAGATATGTCATCATCCTGCAAGAGCAGCAGCTCTGCACACTGTACCATAGGAACTGTTATGACATGCCTGTTTCCATAGTTACCACAGCAAGTCGGGAGAGGTGTCTGTCAGGGACCAATTTACCTCTCCAGACAAGCACTGGCACCAAAGAAAAGACACAGTACCCACCAATATTAGGTAGGGCCAAAAATGGAGCAACACTGAGCAAAATAAAATTGTAATAAATACTAAAGGCTGTCACAAAAATTATGACATACATGAAAAGCCACCTATAAATAAATGTCTGTACTTTATCATACACACATAAGTATTTTCAACCTGCAATTAAACTGGCAATCAAAACAAATTGAAAAATAATTTATTTTGCATGGAAAAACTGTTAAATACAATAATAAAGTTTACAAGAATATTTAAAAATCCATGAATTAAGCACAAATGTAGCTGATGATGCCAAAAATAAGACTTTCAGTTTCTCTGTCTTCAATAAAATAATGGTGCTTTAGAAAGACTTCTGCTAAAATAATACAAATGTAATGCAAATCATTTAGTAGCAAAAGCAATTAAAATCACTGTGGAAGAATTCTGAAAGGCATGATATGTAGAAATAAAATCTTTCACATTTTGTTTAAGTTAAACTAACCAGAACATCTTTATTAGTGGAAATTTGGAGGAAGTTTTAAAAATTAGAGCTACAGAGAAATTGTCGTTATAAGATACTTAATATGGCAAATAACGTATTTTTTTAATTCAATAAAACAAAGCATAATGTAAAAAATCTTTTTTTAATTCTTACTCATAAGGTAATTTGAAATTAAGGTCGAATGACAGAAACAGGAACAATTTAAATAGAAAAGTACAAACCTTGCAGATTTAAAAGTAATTTTCAAAATGCAGCTACTTAATCCTAAATGCTACAAATGCATATTTAAAAATGATGTTGATAAAGCATGTGTATGTCTTATGTGCCTCCACTGAGAACTTAGCTGAAACTCTAAATACACAGTAATAGTCAAACTAAAGCTGCTTGTGCTCTGCTTATTTACATGTACTGTGCTTGAAAACAGCTTGTTCACTGTATATTATTCTAAAACTTCTGGGTTGCCACCCCTAAAGAATTTGAAAACAGCATTATATAAATAATTATAAAAGACTTTGAAGCTATTTAATACCTGAGGATTGGATCCATCAAATCCTTCCTCATAAATGATGTTCTGGATAAACTGAAGCAGCTTTATGTAGCCAGGGGTCAAAGAACTGTTGGTAAAAGAAGTGGTTCAAATACATAAATGGGTTATTAGACAGAAGTACAAAATCTATGCTAAAACATTAAGTAAATAATTAAAAGGCATACATTTATTAGATTACTTAAGAATGTCAAAATAGTATTATATAATCCTAAAATATAAAGTCAGTACATACAAGGAATAAGTTACAATGCTTTATAATAACTTGCTCAGTGTTCCTGACATCATGGGGAGATAAAAACCTGTGGAGACTAAGATGACTTAATTATGTCAGGCTTAGTTACCTCCAAGAAAATTAATGATTTAATGAAGCAACCTAAAAGACGAAGCCACTATAGATTTTCAGGAGTAATCATACATAATTAACACATAGTTAATGAACTGCTATGCCAAGTACACCTGAATCAATGTCCTGATCACCTGAGCTTCCATCTTCCATCAAAGTTAATTTTCTTAGAACTTCTAAAATAATAGTAATTTTAAAAGTTGATTTTTTTCAGACACATGAAGAAAAGTGAGTATAATCTTCACTTCCTTTGTTAAAAGAAGGCAATAAATGGATGAATTTAAGAAGAAAACCAAATTTATTTCCCATATAAATACTAGCATTAATGTTATTGTTTTAAAATATTTTACAAATGCTACGAAATATCTCAAAGAATCTTTAGTAAGCATGAGGAAAATCTGCTTTACATTATCTGAAGTTAAGATTCTGCATAATGGACAATCTGTGTGCTATGACTGAACATTAATGTCATGATAATGTCATGAGCATAGCAATTCCATAGACATTGAAGTGCCTAATGTTGTAAAAGCTGTGGGTGACCTTAAAATTACACAAGTATTTGCTTTACTGTGATCCTAAGTAAACAATCACATAGGCAGAAGAAATATCCTAAAGAAAGAATGAAATCTAATTTGAAGCATGAATGCAGCAGTAAAGAATGTAAAATGTTAGGAAATATAGCAGACTCCTTAGTGTGCAAAATCAATGGTAGGTGGTTCAGGAAAAATATCTGTACATCTCTGTAAACATGTAATTGAACAGCCACAATAAACCCAAAAGTGTCTATCTTGCAAAAACAAAACAAACAAAAAAAATGCTGTTGTGTACAAAACAAATACAGCTCCAGATAATGAAGAATTTGGTAGTTTGGCTATTTCTCATACAGTTATTTCTCCATTTTCAGTGAAAATGCTGTAGATTACATAGATATATTTTTTTTCACGAGTGTGGAAATATGTGTAAAAATAATATTCTGTAAGGGCAATTTTATGACTATTTCATATCTTAACACACATTTGTCCCAGCTAGATCAACCTTTCAGAACACAGTGCTGCTGTCTGAATGCAGTAGATTCAATTCTAATCTGGATCAATTTGCTTTGCACAAGGGGTAAAATCTGCAAGCTTTCAGATTATGAAATGAATTCCAGCCAACCATCTGATGAATGTCACTATGGGCTATAGGAGAGTGGATCAAAAATATAGCCAATGCATTTTAATCCACTAATAATTCTACCCCAAACAATTATTATTTCATATAGTAATAATAGGGGATCATGCAATATTCATCTTTCTGTGTTGGGCTTATTTCATTTACCACAATGTCCTTCTTATTTCATTTACCATAATGTCCTTCTGTTTCATCCGTGTTGTCACAAATGACAAGATTTCTGTTTGAAGGCTAAAAGTCCATTGTGTGTGTGTAGACCACATTTTCTTTATTCATTTATCTCTTGATGAACACTTATGTTGATTCCATATGTTGATTATTGTGAATAATGGTACAGTAAACATGGGAGTGTAAATATGTCTTCAACATACTGATTTTATTTCCTTTACATATACAGTCATGCGCTGCATAGGGACGTTTTGGTCAATGATGGACCACGTATACAATGATTGTCCCATAAGATTAGAATAGAATTGAAAAATTCCCATCATCTAGTGATGTTGTAGCCATATTACTCACATGTTTATGGTGATGCTGGTATAAACAAACTTGTCCTAAAAAGTACAGCACATATAATTATGTATGATACATAATAATAACAAATGACAATTTTACTGGCTTATGTATTTACTATACTATACTTTTTATTGTTAGAGTATACTCCTTTTATTTATTGAAAAAAAACAAGCTAACTATAAGACTCAGGCAGGACCTTCAGGAGGTATTCCAGAAGAAGGCATTGTTATCACAAGAGATGACAGCTGTGTGTGTGTTACTGTCCTTGAAGACCTTCCAGTGGGAAAAGATGTGGAGGTAGAAGATAGTGATATTGATAATCATGACCCCACACAGGCCTAGAGTAATGTGCATGCTTGTGTCTCAGTTTTTAACAAAAAAATTTTACAAGTAAAAAAATTAAAAATAGCAAATAGAATAAGAATATAAAGAAACAATATTTTAGTAGAATTGTGCAAAGCGTGTTTTAAGCTGTTATTACAAGAGTCAAAAACTCATTTAAAATGCAAAAGTTTATCAATTAAAAATGTTACAGAAGCTAAGGTGAATTCTTATTGAAGAAAGGAAAATATTTTTAATAAATTTAGTGCAGCCTAAGTGTACAGTGTTATAAAGTCTACAGTAGTATGCTTTAGTATATTAGGCCTTCACGTTCACTTACCACTCCTTTACTGACTCACCCAGAGCAACTTCCAGTCCTGTAAGCTCCATTCTTGGTAAATGCCTTATACAGGTGTACCCCTTTTTATCTTTTAGACTATTATTTACTGAACCTTTTCTAAGTTTAGAAACACAAATAACTGTATTAAAATAGCCTATTCAGTCCAGTAACATGCTGCACAAGTTTGTAGGCTAGGCCCAAGAGAGTACTATAGAGCCTAGGTACGTAGACTGTACCATGTAGGTTTGTGTAATTACTCTCTATGATGTTTGCACAATGATGAAATTGCCCAATAATGTATTTCTCAGAATATATTTCCATTCATAAGTGTCAAATGACTGAATGCTCAGAACTGGGGTTGTTGGATATGTTGGTTCTCTTTTTGATTTTTTAAGGAACCTCTATACTATTTTCTACAATGGCTGTTCTAATTTATATTTCCACCAACAGTATACAAGGGTTCCTTTCTCTCCAAATCATCTCCAACACTTCTGTCTTTTTGATAACAGACAGAGATAACACAATGAGGTGAAACTTCATTGTGTTTTTAATGTACATTTCCCTGATGATGAGTAATGTTGAGCACTTTTTCATATATGTATTGGTCATCTGTATGGCTTCTTTTGAGAAATGTCTATTTTGGTCCTTATCCAATTTTTAAATTGAGTTATTTGTTTTCATGCTATTGTGTTGTTTGAGTTCCTTAATATTTTGAACATGAACCCTTTTACTAGACATATGACTTGCAAATATTTTCCCCCATTCCATAGGTTATTTTTTTACTCTGTTGATTCTTACCATGTTGCACAGAATAGGGGGTTCTTTGATATGAGAATAAAAAGGAAGATGCGAAGCCAATACTTCTTAATTTCTTATTTAACCCTGACAGTTCAATCATCAACAATGCTTAAAATTTTATAAGTAATAAAATAAATTCCTCTAATTAGATTTCTAGAAAAATAAACTATTTGATAACAAATAAAATGGAATAAATCAATAGATTTAGGTATATCAATTGTGAATATTAATTTTTGAATATATGGGATTAAATCATTTAAAACTGAAATTATTTACATGATATTGATACTAAAATACTAAGTACTGTTAATCTCCATGTTTCTTTGCCAGCAATGTTTATAGTAATATATATACACACACACACATATCTTTTTGCTGAAAATCAGTATCTTGTATTGTCATCTAAAATTTTGGTTTGTTATTAAAATCCTTTGCTTTTGAGGATGTTTACTCTTGTGTGTGTGTTCAGTAGTGTAGGCACTGATAAAACAGGAGTTGGCAAGAAGTAAACCCAGTTAAAAAGATCCTGGCTTCTTTACTAATGTTTCCAAACATTCAACAAAGATTACGTTATCAAAGTATTTAAAACATGCTTCAAAAGTGGCACATTTCTAATCATTTTGTGATCACATTATATGAATTTACATACTATTTTGCCTGATTTTCTTGTATTTTCAACAACTTTTATATTACAATGATGTATTTTGAGATTCTACAATGTGCCTTTAAAACTATTAGCTATACAAAGAACATAAAAACAATTACTAGAACTTTACTTTTTACCTTTAAAATATCAAACATTTAATATTTTCTTTAGTTAATAAAGTAAAATTGTTCCATGTGCATTATTCATGCTTTTCTGCTAATATTACCATGCAGTTTAGCAAGAATTTATTTCTTTATACTAATATATAAACATGGATAAAAGGGGCCAAATGACACAAATGTAAACCTGTTTTCTGATAACAAAGTTTAATATTTTTTAGAGATGATAGAAAAAAATGAAACTCATGCTTATCAATATTCTATCCCCCATCTCTAATTTTCCTCAAGAAGTCTAAAGCACATTTGCATCACATAATTTTAATTCCTATCAACAAATTGCATTGGTTTTGCTGTGAAAAGTAATGTTGTCATTCACTCTCATTAAGAAACATAAAAACATTAGCTGTAAGAAAAAGAATCAGATGTAGTATTCTACAAAAGAAATCAAGCAGAGGTCGATGATAAATAACAGATAAAAACTACAGTTTTGGAAACAAACAAAGGAATGCTTAGCAAAAGTCTTCAAAGAAACACTTAAAAATCTTTTAATAATTAAGAAAAAAGAAAAAAAGTCACTTCAACTGAGGGGTTTAATAAAAAAATAAAAAAAAATGAGTAAATAACAATATACAACACTGCCACCACCAACAAAAAACCTTGTGTAACAGGAGACAAGATTTTATCAGTGAAAAGGTAAGTTACAAAAATAAGATCATGTACATGTGATATTAAAATAACTTGTTGATAAGTGAAAAATCTATACATAGATAACAGGCTCTTAGGTTGATTTTCAATAGGACTACCTGATTTTAAC